GATCCACACTTAACAGCCTCCCGTTCAGCAAACTGGCGGACGAAACCTTCCTGGAGAAGTATTACAGGGAGGATAGGAAGGACTACTTCTTTGACCGGGAGCCTGATGGTTTCAAGGCGATATTGAACTACCTCCGTACGGGGGAGCTGCACCTCCCTGCCTGGCTTTGTGCAGCTTCGGTCAAAACTGAACTCTTATTTTGGGGCGTGGAGGAGGATGAGATTGAGGAGTGTTGCTGGGTGAACTACAGTTCGATGACGACGACGTTGGAGTCGTTGAGGAAGTTGGAGAAGGACAGGAAGGGGACGTTGGGGCACGTTGAGGAGAATCGGAATGATTCGTCTTCTAAGTGGCAGAGGATTCGTCAAAAGGGATGGCGCTTTTTGAACAACCCACGATCATCATTATGGGCTAAGGTAAAATAAATTCTTCCTCTTTCTAAAAATGAATACAGACACGGACGATCGGTTTTAACATTTCATGAGTAACCTACGTTGTTTGACATTTTTTTGTCCTTGTCTTTAACATTAACGATGGTTGTGAGTAAACACACTTCACGTTGCTACAATTGTTATCTCTTAAATAAAGATTGAATATTGCTAATAACATTTTTTTAAATCTTTCAAACCCCTAATTGTCGGATGAAAACTTGACAGTGATTACCTAGCGCCCATGAATAATTGTCAATGATTACCTAGCGCCTATGAATATTCACGTGGATTACATAGCGCCCATGAATACTTCACTGTTATTAACTAGCGCCCATGAATACTTGATGGTTTTTACCTAGCGCCCATGAATACTTGATGATGATTACCTAGCGCCCATGAATACTTGATGGTATTTCCCAAGCGCCCATGAATACTTGATGGTTTTTACCTAGCACCCATGAATACTTGATGATGATTACCTAACGCCTATGAATACTTGATGATGATTACCTAGCTCCCATGAATACTTGATGATGGTCACCTAGCTCCCATGAATACTTGATGATGGCTACCTAGCGCCCATGAATACTTGATGGTTTTTACTTAGCGCCCATGAATACTTGATGGTTTTCACCTAGCGCCCATGAATACTTGATGATGATTTCCTAGCGCCCATGAATACTTGATGGTTTTTACCTAGCGCCCATGAATACTTGATGATGATAACCTAGCGCCCATGAATACTTGATGATGATTACCTAGCTCCCATGAATACTTGATGGTTTTTACCTAGCGCACATAAATACTTGATGGTTTTTACCTAGCGCCCATGAATACTTGATGATGATGACCAAGCGCCCATGAATACTTGATGGTTTTTACCTAGCGCCCATGAATACATGATCATGATTACCTAGCGCCCATGAATACTTGATGATGATTACCTAGCGCCCATGAATACTTGATGCTTTTTAGCTAGCGCCCATGAATACTTGATGATGGTTACCTAGCGCCCATGAATACTTGATGATGATTACCTAGCGCCCATGAATACTTGATGATGATAACCTAGCGCCCATGAATACTTGATAATGATTACCTAGCGCCCATGAATACTTGATGGTTTTTACCTAGCGCCCATGAATACTTGATGGTTTTTACCTAGCGCCCATTAATACTTGATGATGATTACCTAGCTCCGAAGAAAACTTGATGATGGTTATCTAGCGCCCATGAATACTTGATGATGATTACCTCAGCGCCCATGAATACTTGATGGTTTTTACCTAGCGCCCATGAATACTTGATGATGATTACCTACCGCCCATGAATACTTGAAGGTTTTTACCTAGCGCCCATGAATACTTGATGGTTTTTACCCAGCGTCCATGAATACTTGATGCTTTTTAGCTAGCGCCCATGAATACTTGATGATGATTACCTAGCGCCCATGAATACTTGATGGTTTTTACCTAGCGCCCATGAATACTTGATGGTTTTTACCTAGCGCCCATGAATACTTGTTGTTTTTTACCTAGCGCCCATGCATACTTGATGATGATTACCTAGCTCCCATGAATACTTGATGATCGTTACCTAGCGCCCATGAATACTTGATGATTTTTACCTAGCGCCCATGAATACTTGATGATGATTACCTAGCGCCCATGAATACTTGATCATGGTTACCTAGCGCCATTGAATACTTGATGATGATTACCTAGCGCCCATGAATACTTGATGGTTTTTACCTAGCGCCTATGAATACTTGATGATGATAACCTAGCGCCCATGAATACTTGGTGATGATTACCTAGCGCCCATGAATACTTGATGGTTTTTACCTAGCGCCCATGAATACTTGTTTGTTTTTACCTAGCGCCCATGAATACTTGATGATGATTACCTAGCGCCCATGAATACTTGATGATGATAACCTAGCGCCCATGAATACTTGATGATTTTTACCTAGCGCCCATGAATACTTGATGATGATTACCTAGCGCCCATGAATACTTGATCATGGTTACCTAGCGCCCATGAATACTTGATGGTTTTTACCTAGCGCCCATGAATACTTGATGGTATTTCCCCAGCGCCCATGAATACTTGATGATGATTACCTAGCTCCCATGAATACTTGATGATGGTTATCTAGCGCCCATGAATACTTGATGATGATTACCTAGCGCCCATGAATACTTGATGATGATTACCTAGCGCCCATGAATACTTGATGATGATGACCAAGAGCCCATGAATACTTGATGGTTTTTACCTAGCGCCCATGAATACTTGATGATGATTACCTAGCGTCCATGAATACTTGATGATGATTACCTAGCGCCTATGAATACTTGATGCTTTTTAGCTAGCGCCCATGAATACTTGATGATGGTTACCTAGCGCCCATGAATACTTGATGATGATTACCTAGCGCCCATTAATACTTGATGATGATAACCTAGCTCCCATGATTACTTGATGATGGTTACCTAGCTCCCATGAATACTTGATGATGATTACCTAGCTCCCATGAATACTTGATGGTTTTTACCTAGCGCCCATGAATACTTGATGATGATTACCTAGCTCCCATGAATACTTGATGATTGTTACCTAGCTCCCATGAATACTTGATGATGATTACCTAGCTCCCATGAATACTTGATGATGATAACCTAGCGCCCATGAATACTTGATGATGATTACCTAGCGCCCATGAATATTTGATGATGATTACCTAGCGCCCATGAATACTTGATGGTTTTTACCTAGCGCCCATGAATACTTAACGGTAATTATCTTGCTCCCATGAATATTTCACGGAAATTACCTATACTACAACACAAAAGTTTGTTATCGTTAAGATTGCAAAGAGCCTGTTATTGTGTTATTGCACTACTTAGGAGATTTATTTGACTATCACGCCGTCAACGCATGGCGGGCAATGGCGATTCTCTCCTGCCACGTTGGCTATGATGCTATACTGTGAATAAATTACAGGTTCGTGTAGCGTTAGATAAATACATGTAAACACCAGTTTGCAAAATATATATATATATAATAAAATAATAAAGTCCATGTAGTCCATCATCTTCTTTATATCAGTTTCATACATAGTACTTTCGCTGTCTCATGACAGCTCTTCAGCGTAACTGACAATGACATATAATGACTTTACAAATACTGTATTTTTAATTCAAATGTCTCCCTACAATTGTTAAAGGGGAAGTGTACACGCAAAAATTACTTTCTTTCTTTTTCTAAACAAAACGCAATTTTAGAATTAGTTAGTATCTGTGTTTGAAAATATACACTCATTTTTTTCACAGTGAAAGTAGGAAGCTCACAATAGTGTAAATATGATATGCCGTTATGAGGCCTTCGTTTTTCGAGCTAGACAGGCCTTAGTTATCTCCCTTAGATTATGACGTAATTGGTGCCAATTCAACTGGGTCCCTGTCTATTCTGAACGCAAAAGATATCAAGTACAAGTTTTCGGTAAAACAACATGGCCTACGACAAACTCCAGCGCAGTGGTGACTCAGCATAACACTATGCTGGCTGGCATCTGAGACGCTAGAATCACACACCTGTACCTACACCACGTGAAGCGGCTCTAACAAAGCATGATGACGTCATTATATTTATCAATTGGCACCAATGACGTCATATTGCAAGGGGCATAAGCCATGGTGTTTTTGTTATGGAAATAGAACACTTGGTAAATGTGAAAAATATAAATCGTTTTAATGCAAAACATATGTTGATTAATTGTGATATTTGTATATTTTTGTCTATGACACTTCTAGGTTAACACTTTTATTGTGGAAAAAGTACAACAACATTAGGTTCATTTCCGTGTGAACTTGCCCTTTAAATTACTTGGTGTCGTCGCTGGAGTGTGTAAATACATTATGACGTCATAGTTGTAATTTATGACGTCATCATAAGTATGACGTCATTATATGTCATTGTCAGTTATAAAGAAGATGATGGACTAACGTGGACTTTATTATTTTATTATATATTACATGTACACCGAGTGAACATTTACCTCATTTTTGTATATATATATATATATTTGCACATACTGTCATAGTGCTAAAAAAACACTTTGACACTGGTTTTACCACAGTTAATATATGTAAGTGTACTTGGTGAAAAAATACATACAGTACACTACGGTTATAAAGGACTCAAAGCGATGACTAAATTTAGTTCGTTATGACCGCAGTTCGTTATAAGCATATTTGCAACATATGTACAGCACATGGTCAGGACAACAAAATACGTTCGTTATATCCGTCTGTTCGTTATAAGTGTGTTCGTTATAAACATGGTTTACTGTATTTACATAAACGTTCAGCATATAGGACATTTGTGTATCTCCCCCAATCAACTGCAAGTTTAAACCTACTGCATCTGAAACGAGTCATACATATTCTCAGATGTACTGGAATTGGGAGTGTAAGATATTTATTTCTACATTTAACAGGGATTTAAAATGTTTTTAATATAATGTATCAGACATACTATTGATATAACTACACCATGATTGATAAAGGTTACCAAATAATCTTTCTTTAAATTTACATACATTAAATTATGCATCTTCCCATTGCCAACTTCTTGTGTTAACTATACATATCCAAATCGTAACTTTAAAAAATATGTTTTATTATGAGTAGCCCACGTGGTGCGTCCAGTGATTTGAGCATTAAATAGCATTGGCGAAGCAGTCTGTGATCATTCGTATGCAGTGGTCTGCATCAATACTTGATAGCCTTTGTGGTATGCACACGTTGGAGAGGGGCTCTACCACTCTCCCAAAATCAAAGCTTTGTATGTTTTACCCGTTTTAAGGTTGGAATACATTAGATATTTGGTATAACTGTACTTCATGTGACTCTAAGGCCGAACGCCCACTGGATCAGGCCTTTAGCTGGACTCTGCTTCATGGAAATTGTCAACACAATGTGTACACGATGTTTCCAAATACTTGTATAGTTAGTTCAACATTTCTCTTGACCAGAATAGCACAAATTTGATGATGGTTTTGGCCAAAAGTAAAAACGATGTCAGTGTATTTTTTTACTGAATTTTAGGTTAAGGTTTACCAGTACTATTTAGTCGAGAAAATGCACGAGATAAGTAGTAGCTCGAGATAAATAGTAGTTCGAGACAAGTGATAGTTCGAGATAAATAGTAGTTCGAGAAAAATAGCAATTCGAGAAAGGTAGTAGTTCGAGATAAGTAGTGGTTCGTGATAACTAGAAGTTGGAGATACGAAGTAGTTCGAGATACGTAGTTGTTCGAGATAAGCGGCATAAGTAGTTCTAATGGAGGCTCGTCTTCATCGAATTATAGCACAAATATATTTCCCGCTAACCAATCAAATTGCTTGATGGTATTGAGAATTTATTTATTTACCTGTGGCCGAAATATTAACATGTTCAACAAACATAAATATGCAATGAAATGCATTGCCTCTGTGCAGTTGATTATATGTGTTAGATCCCTTGACCCAGGTTCGAAATGTTCTTCGATCAGCAATCCATGCTTGTCGTAAGAGGCGGCTTGCGGGATCGGATCGTCTGACTCGCTGACTTGGTTGATGCATGTCATCGTATCCCAATTGTGAGGATCGATGCTCATGATGCCAATCACTGGATTGCCTAGCCCTGACTCGATTATTTACAAATTGTCATACAGCTGGAATTTGAGTACAGCGTTAAACAACAAAGAACAAACATGTCTGTTCGTAAAAATCAAATGTAGATTAGAAGCAAGATGTCTAAGTGAGTGAGTGAGTATGGTTTTACGCCGCTTTAAGCAATATTCCAGCAATATCACATCGGGGGACACCAGAAATGGGCTTCACACATTGTACCCATGTCGGGAATCGAACCCGGGTCTTCGGCGTGACGAGCGAACGCTTTAACCACTAGGCTACCATAACAGTAAACGGCTACGACCCTCATCACTTTGGGGTGTCCTCCGAGGGGCACATACTGGCACAGACATTAAATAATGAGATTTTAACTCTCTAAAGTTGCAGAGATCAAAATGGCTAGGTAAATTACAGCATGTCGTGTCTTTGTGTATTGTATAGCTTAAAACCCATAAAGGTCTCTCAAGCGGGACCATTAATAGTTAATTCTACACCATTTGCCAAGTATCAGGTGCGCTGAAATTGCATCCATTGAAAGTAACAACAAAGGACAACATGACGGCAACAAATGTATTGCTGCACCTGTCTTAAATGACACATGTATGATGATAAACACGGGTGTACATTTCATTCTGCATGCAGTGATGCATATTTAAACATTGTATACACACCCATGTCCTTTCTCACAGAGAACGTCATTGTCAGTGATTTGATATTAAGACGGAATAAGAAAAGTTTGATTTGCATTGAAACTGCAGGCACGGGAAGATTTCAATGTGAGACTGTCCCACCAGACACACAACGTTTTTGTTTGTTTGTTTGTTGTTTAACGCCGCGCTCAGCAACATTCCAGCTGTATGGCGGCGGTCTGTAAATAATCGAGTCTGGACCAGACAATCCAGTGATTAATATCATGAGCATCGATCCACGCAATTGGGATACGATGACATGCATCAACCAAGTCAGCGAGCCTGACCACCAGATCCCGTTAGTCGCCTCTTACGACAAGCATAGTCACTTTTAAGGCAATCATGGGTTGCTGAAGACCTATTCTCCCCCGGAATCTTCACGGGTCAGACAATTGGGATACGATGACATGCATCAACCAAGTCAGCGAGCCTGACCACCCGATCCTGTTAGTCGCCTCTTACGACAAGCATGGGTTGCTGATCAAAGACCATTTCCGGATGAAGGAATCTAACACATATAATCAACTGCACAGAGGCAATGCATAACATTGTATATTTATGTTTGTTAAGCAAGTTAATATTTCGGCCATAGATAAATAAATACATTCTCATAAGCATCGATCTAGGCAATTGAGATACGCTGACATGCATCAACAAGTCAGCGCACCTGACTACCCGATTCCCTTCGTCGGATCTTACTTGTATGGTTTGCTGAAGACCAATTCTAACCTGGGACGGCCTGTTTATCTAAGGCACAGTAATATCATGTGAAGCGTTGCGTCCGTGTCAGATCCTTGGTTTGTATACAAGATTACCCGATTTGTCGAACTACGAGTGAGTGAGTGAGTTCGGTTTAACGCCGCTTTTAACAGTATTCCAGTTATATCATGGCGTGTCAGCTTAATGTGGGAGGAAAGCCCGAAGCGATGCAGGTCTCAGACGTTAACCACTTCGGTGAAACCCACGAACACGGGTATGGTGCTGACAAACCTAGAAACATAATCGGGGCTAACCGGGATTCGAACCCACAATCACAGGTTTCTGGCGAGCCCAAGGGACGCAACACTGCACAGCGAATCGCGGTGCCTTAGACGACTGGGCAACCCGCGCCCCCTGTCGAACTACGAGTACATGCTATTAGCCGTTAAATCCGCATCTCCCAAAAATAACCTGAGTGAGTGAGTGAGTATGTTTTTACGCCGCTTTAAGCAATATTCCAGCAATATCACGGCGGGGACACCAGAAATGGGCTTCACACATTGTACCCATGTCGGGAATCGAACCCGGGTCTTCGGCGTGACGAGCGAACGCTTTAACCACAAGGCTACCCGACCGCCCCAAAACAACCTGAAGGGACCACGATGACAATCAGCGTTATTTCCCACAAAGATCTGTCGATAACACCATATTATGATTGATATACATATGTATGCCACAATGAAAAGAGGCATTTATTAGTGTTAGTTTACGGGTAGCCCAGTTGTTTGAGGCGCTTTGGGAACGCCAGAAAATTGTGAGTTCGAATCCCGGTTCGCCTCGATCATGTTTCTTGGTTTGTCAGCACCATAACCGTGGGTTTCACCACCCGCATTAAGTTGACACGCCCCGATATAACATGAACACTAACAGGGTAAGGACAATATGACCCGCATTGAAAAGTTTACCGCTTCAGCCCTGTACAAAGGAAGGTAGAAATCTAACATTTTGTAAATATTTCTTAAAGGTGACGAACCAAACACATCCATCGTGTTTGCGTCGCCAGAACACCACAAATAATGCTTTCCTGTGTTTTGTGAAAATTATGATCTTCTGCAAATGCAAACGCGTGTCATGCATGAACTGTATAAAGTCACTCGTCAATGGCGCCGCAATTCACTGTGCAGAGTTGCGTCCCTTGGGCACACCAGAAACCAATGATTGTGGGTTCGAATTTCGCTTCGCCCCGATTATGTTTCTAGGTTTGTCAGCACCTTACCTGTGCTCGAGTGTTTCACCAAAGTGGTAAACGTCTGAGACCTGTATCACTTCGGGCTTTCCTCGCCTGACACGCCGTGACAAAACCAAGTACTGTACCAAGCAGCGTTACACCAAACTCACTAACTTCATTAATGTCATGATCTCTCATTTCAGGTATTTGGCGCAGTATCAATGACGTTTGTGGTCGTATCTATTTTCGCATTCTGCGCAGAGACACATGACAGTTTTCATACTTCCGTTTCACAACCTGGCTCACAAATGTCCTTGAAGAACGGAAGTGACGTCAACGATTCCCGTGGTGCCTCTGACGTCTACATCCATCCATCGCTGTTTGTCATTGACGTCACATGCCTGACCTACTTTCTTTTCGAGTTTACAACAAAGTTCCTATTCTCCCAGAGCAAAGTAAAATATTTCATACTACCAATGACAATAATTGATATCATAGCACTGATTCCGGATATCGTCGAGACGTCGTATCGCCTGTCAACGTCCGACTATTACTCACGTGACACTCTCGACGTACTTCCGGTTCTGCGCGTCACAAGAGTCTTTCGTATTTTACGTCTTATTCGTCACATTTCCGGTTTGTGGATCCTGTTCTATACACTCAAGGCAAGTTTAAGAGAACTGCTCCTGATGCTGCTGTTCTTGTTCGTGGGGATGCTGTTGTACTCTTCTCTCATCTACTTTGCGGATGACCGGAGCACGTTTACCAGCATCCCTCACGGGTTCTGGTGGGCACTCATCACCATGACAACCGTTGGTTATGGTGACATGTTTCCTGTGACGAACGTTGGCTACCTTGTAGGATCAGTGACTGCAGTATCAGGTCTGTTAATGATTGGGTTCACAGTTCCAGTACTGGTAAACAACTTCTTATTGTACTACGGTCATACACAATCAGCAATGGTGAGAGAACAGAACAGGGAAAAGAGGATCAAGCGCATGGAAGCACAATCAAGGAAACGCAGACCAACTCTATTCTCTATTTCATCAAAAGTGCTTCCGAAAGCGTCCATCATCAAAAATGAGCCAGTGTTGGCTTCGATGGCCCAGAACGCGTCAAGACGTGCTGTCAAAAGCTACCACTCAAGGTTAGCTACATTGTCAGGGATCGAGTCAAACAGTGATGACATGACAAAAAATGTGCCAACGTTTGCTTCGATGGCAAAAAATGCCTCAATAATTACTGACAAGACAAAAACGTCAACTGCAGACAGCGTGTCAGTGACTACCAACAAGACAAAAACGTCAACTGCAGACAGCGTGTCAAAGACTATCGACAAGACAAAAACGTCAACAGCAGACAGCGTGTCAAAGACTATCGACAAGACAAAAACGTCAACAGCTGACAGCGTGTCAAAGACTGGTGACAAGACAAAAGCGTCAACTGCAGACAGCATGTCAAAGACTACCGACAAGACGAAAACGTCAACAGCAGACAGCATGTCAAAGACTGTCGACAAGACAATAACGTCCACAGTAGACAGCGTGTCAAAGACCAGCGACAAGACAAAAGCGTCAACTGCAGACAGCATGTCAAAGACTGTCGACAAGACAATAACGTCCACAGTAGACAGCATGTCAAAGACCAGTGACAGGACAAAAGCGTCAACTGCAGACAGCATGTCAAAGACTGTCGACAAGACAATAACGTCCACAGCAGACAGCGTGTCAAAGACTACCGACAAGACAAAAGCGTCAACTGCAGACAGCGTGTCAAAGACAACTGACAAGACAAAAACGTCAACAGCAGACAGCGTGTCAAAGACTACCGACAAGACAAAAACGTCAACAGCAGACAGCATGTCAAAGACAACCGACAAGACAATAACGCCAACTGCAGACAGCGTGTCAAAGACAACTGACAAGACAAAAACGTCAACAGCAGACAGCATGTCAAAGACTACCGACAAGACAAAAACGTCAACAGCAGACAGCGTGTCAAAGACTGGTGACAAGACAATAACGTCAACTGCAGACAGCATGTCAAAGACTACCGACAAGACAATAACGCCAACTGCAGACAGTGTGTCAAAGACAACTGACAAGACAAAAGCGTCAACAGCAGACAGCATGTCAAAGACTACCGACAAGACAATAACGCCAACTGCAGACAGCATGTCAAAGACAACTGACAAGACAAAAACGTCAACAGCTGACAGCATGTCAAAGACCAGTGACAGGACAAAAACGTCAACTGCAGACAGCATGTCAAAGACTACCGACAAGACAAAAACGTCAACAGCAGACAGCGTGTCAAAGACAACTGACAAGACAAAAACGTCAACTGCAGACAGCATGTCAAAGACTGTCGACAAGACAAAAGCGTCAACTGCAGACAGCGTGTCAAAGACAACTGACAAGACAAAAGCGTCAACTGCAGACAGCATGTCAAAGACTGTCGACAAGACAATAACGTCAACAGCAGACAGCGTGTCAAAGACCAGCGACAAGACAAAAGCGTCAACTGCAGACAGCATGTCAAAGACTGTCGACAAGACAATAACGTCCACAGCAGACAGCATGTCAAAGACCAGTGACAGGACAAAAGCGTCAACTGCAGACAGCATGTCAAAGACTGTCGACAAGACAATAACGTCCACAGTAGACAGCATGTCAAAGACCAGCGACAGGACAATAACGCTAACTGCAGACAGCATGTCAAAGACCAGCGACAAGACAAAAACGTCAAGATGCTGACTGGATAGATACGTCAACATCAGTCTAAAGCATGCAAGACAATGTTGACCTCGATGGCAGTGTGTGCAAAATTGTTGTCAAGATAGAATGGTCAATGCTAACTACGATGGCAGACAAGCTGTCAAGTCAGAGATACGTCGATGTTTTCAATTTGTAATCAATGTCTAGATTTCACTATGTTTTAAGTACAATCGAGCATGCTCTTTCCACGAAGATTTTAAAGAGCGACTCCTGATCAATGTTACATTCAAGGCCATATTATGGATTTCAAAAGGTTCTATGATAGACATGCAGCGCTCGATCTATAATAATTAAGAAAGACTTGCCTTCGCATGTGGTTGTGTCCATGGCAGGCAAGCTGTCCAAATGTGCTGACAAATCAAAAACGTCAATGTTAACTTCAATGGCAGACAAGCTGTCCAAATGTGCTGACAAATCAAAAACGTCAATGTTAACTTCAATGGCAGACAAGCTGTCCAAATGTGCTGACAAATCAAAAACGTCAATGTTAACTTCAATGGCAGACAAGCTGTCCAAATGTGCTGACAAATCAAAAACGTCAATGTTAACTTCAATGGCAGACAAGCTGTCCAAATGTGCTGACAAATCAAAAACGTCAATGTTAACTTCAATGGCAGACAAAATGTCCACATTAGCCGACAAGACGTGGTGAGGTGGAATTGGGTTTAACGTCGCGTCCAAGATTATTGCACTTATATAGCGACGTGCATGTACGTGTGTATGTGTGTGTGTGGCTGCTTGTAGTAGTCCGGACTGATGCCGATTTATAGTGCCAGCACACTGAGATACCATGCCGCAGTTTAACATGAATACCCCACTAAGACACAGTATACTGACTCCGAGCCGACCAGTCCTTGTTTTAGCCCCTTAATGCCAAGCGCCAGTCAGGGTAACAACAAGTACCATCTTTGAACGTCTTTTGGTATGACGCGGCCGGGGATCGAACCCCGGACCTTCCGCTCTCCTGGCGAATGCTGTACCACTAGACCACGGAGGCGGTCTTGCCGACAAGACAAGTTGTCGTCAAGGGCCGATAAGACAGATACGTCAATGCTAGCGTCCAGGTAAAGGTGTTTGTAACAGAACCTTTTAAGCCCAAACATCTAGCATAAAAACTGAGAACCTGTACGGTACAGAGGCATCGCTCTGAAGGTCTTGAGAACAAGTCTTGTCATCTGCAAACTGTAAGAATAAATATTCAATATCACCAATCGTATTACCTTTTTTATGCCCGGCAGTGTGGATTGCGTGTCATAGTAGCCCGGTTGTGTGGATTGCGTGTCATAGTAGCCCGACGGTGTGGACTGCGTGTCAAAGTAGCGCGATGGTGTGGATTGCGTGTCATAGTAGCGCGATGGTGTGGATTGCGTGTCATAGTAGCCCGACAGTGTGGATTGCGTGTCATAGTAGCACGACAGTGTGGACTGCGTGTCATAGAAGCGCGATGGTGTGGATTGCGTGTCATAGTAGCCCGGTGGTGTGGATTGCGTGTCATAGTAGCCCAGTGTTGTGGATTGCGTGTCATAGTAGCCCGGTGGTGTGGATTGCGTGTCATAGTAGCACGATAGTGTGGATTTCGTGTTATAGTAGCACGGTGGTGTGGATTGCGTGTCATAGTAGCCTGGTGGTGTGGATTGCGTGTTATAGTAGCACGGTGGTGTGGATTGCGTGTCATAGTAGCCCGGTGGTGTGGATTGCGTGTTATAGTAGCACGGCGGGGTGGATTGCGTGTCATAGTAGCCCGGTGGTGTGGATTGCGTGTCATTGTAACCCGGTGGTGTGGATTGCCTGTCATAGTAGCCCGGTGGTGTGGATTGCGTGTCATAGTAGCCCGGTGGTGTCGATTACGTGTCATAGTAGCCCGTTGGTGTGGATTGCGTGTCATAGTAGCCCGGTGGTGTGGATTGCGTGTCATAGTAGCCCGGTGGTGTGGATTGCGTGTCATTGTAGCCCGGTGGTGTGGATGGCGTGTCATAGTAGCCCGGCGGTGTGGATTGCGTGTCATAGTTGCACGATATTGTGGATTGCGTGTCATAGTAGTACGACAGCGTGTATTGCGTGACATTAAACATTCACCTTGACTAAAAGGTTTTCAGAAAGAATTTCTTTGGACATTTGAACAAAAATTCAAGTATTTTACCTATAAAGTACCAACACCAAAAATTAAATATTGATAAGAAAACGTTACTTGAAAGATAACGTTACGGAAGCCAAACCGTAGTCCCCCAGTGATGAGCCTACGGCTTATGTTACCTGCTAAAAGATACATGGCTACACTTCTAGCAGTGATATTTCCCCATTGTCTTCTACTTAACGAGGTATGTCGTTGTCATGACTACACGCGGCTTGAACAGTACCGTGCCAACCAGATTTGCATTGTATACAATGTAAAGGCTGAATATTGAGCATAGTAAGTATTTTGTGTAAAAGAATAAAATAAGAAAATATAGTTAAAATACTATCCAAACATCATTGAATTGACAGTGTCACAATAGTACGTTGTTATCATTCCATTATCTTCCCATACTGCAGAGCTACTGTTATACCTGTGAAGATCCGGGGTACAATAGGTCTTCAGCAACCCATGCTTGCCGTAAAAGGCGACTATGCTTGTCGTAAGAGGCGACTAAAGGGATCGGGTGGTCAGGCTCGCTGACTTGGTTGATGCACGTCATCGTATCCCAATTGAGTGGATCGATGCCCCTTATGTCAATCACTGGATTGTTTGGTCCAGATTATTTACAGACCGCCGTCATATAGCTGGAATAATATTACCGACTGTGGCGTTAAAAAACAAACATTTTAGATGCTGACAGAGTCAACATTACGAAATATTTGCAGTATTATATACATGAACAGTGCAAATGTATATTTTGCCATGATTGGGTAAATATCCAGGTGAGCGATGCAGGCCCTATGGGCCTCTTGTTTACGGGGAGCACGGGTGGCCCAGTCGTCTAAGGCGCCGCGGTTCGCTGTGCAGAGTTGCGTCCCTTGGGCACGCCAGAAGCGTATGATTGTGGGTTCGAATCCCGGTTAACCCCGATTATGTTTCTAGGTTTGTCGGCACCATACCTGTGCTCGTGTGTTTCACCGAAGTGGTAAACGTCTGAGACTTGCATCACTTCGGGCTTTCCTCCCACATTAAGCTGACACGCCGCGATATAACTGGAATACTGTTAAAAGCGGGTTAAACCCAACTCACTCACTCACGCACTCACGCACTCACGCACTCACGCACGCACGCACTCACGCACTCACGCACTCACTCACTCACTCACTCACTCTTGCTTATGGACCGCCGCCGTGTTGCTGGGATGTTGTTCGACGTTAAACAACAAACAACAACTACCATGAAACACCCATTTAGTGAAGTAGGTTGACATTTAAGTTGTGTCATTATATCTCAAAAGGAAACGAGACGAACACTGTACATATCTATTATTTAATGTTCACTAGGGTTGCCGGTTACATTTACCGGAGAGAAATATTAGTGTCGGGATGCAGCCTTCCATCCAGCAGATGCTTGTGGCCTGTTGGGTGCTACATTGGCACCATAACCCCGTGTTTTGCACAGCGCCATGGAAGGGGACTGGTGAAATTGCATGTCAGCAAATTAAGGAACTGGCGGCTGGCTGCAGCATCAACCCCCATGTTACGCTGTGCCCCACTGATGCGAAAAAAGGGCGAACAGTCAAGAAAAGTCAGTAGGAAGATTTTTATCTTTATTATTTCTGCATGTTTGTTCGTCCGTTTGTTGTTTAACGCCGCACTCAGCAATATTCCAGCTATATGACGGCGGTCTGTAAATAATCGAGTCTGAACCAGACAATCCAGTGATTGACATCATAAGCATCGACTGGTTGGCTTGTTGTTTAACGCCGCACTCAGCAATATTCCAGCTATATGACGGCGGTCTGTAAATAATCGAGTCTGGACCAGACAATCCAGTGATTGATGTATTATATACTTAACAAAAAGGTTCCTCAATATGCATTTTAAGAACAAAGCATTGAGTAATGGCAATCACATTGAAAATTTGATTCAATACATCCATTATTGCTGGGTGCAACATTTAAAGTTTCAGCTTCATCGGTCCAGTGGTGTCAAATGTTGGTTAGTTGGTTGGCTGGTTGGTTGGCTGGTTGGTTGGTTGGTTTAACGCCGCACTTTGAAATCACCTTATGAAGACTTAAGTTATGGCCTTGGTTTTTTGTTGATTGATTTGTTGTTTAACGCCGGACTCAGCAATATTCCAGCTATATGACGGCGGTCTGTAAAACAATCAAGTCTGGACTTGACAACCCAGTGATTAATATCATGAGCATCGATCTACACAATTGGGACACGATGACATGCATCAACCAAGTCAGCGAGACTGACCACCCGATCCCGTTAGCCGCCTCTTACGACAAGCATAGTCGCCTTTTACGGCAAGCATGGGTTGCTGAAGACCTATTTTACCCCGGATCTTCACGGGTCTGGTGTCTTACGGAAGTATGTAACAGACGACGCGAGGACAAGCAGGCTATGAAATCGGCCCACCTCACTTTCATAGCCGCGTGGCTGTCAAATGCCAATATATTGTCATGTTTCCCCTTATTCCAATGACAGAGCGGTACAAGGGATACAAGACCATCAGAGCTGCCAATGAGACGATTCGCGTGAAGATATCCTGGATTATAAAGACGTGGCATGACGCATCGGGGCGGTGTGAAGAAGATGGCGGGTTTCTTGCCGTACTGAACACCGACACGAGACGGAATGTTGTTAAACGGATCGTTGGTGCTCATGCTTTCACCCTGGGTATGAACATCTAGAATGTATATTTTGACGTATGATAAAAACAAAACAGAAAAGGTTTTACAGTTCAAAGATACCGAGGGAAGGGGTGGTCATGACGGACCATGTAATCAAAGGTGTCGCAGATTGTTTTTGATAATGTTTATGCGTGTCTGTACGCAACCATCTAACATATAATTGGATAATGGTGATATATTCTGCGAATTGTACGCAATACGGAGCTTATCTGGATCTCTGCCTGATTTCGCTGGAATTTTGCTGTGCTTGGCGTTTAACAAAAAAACATTGAAAAAACATTTGTCCACTCTCTGACCGAGTCTTTTAGCAGCCGTTGTTATACAGTGGAACTATTCCCGTATGTATTCATACATTCAAATAAGACGCCGTGATATAACTGGTATATTGTTCCAAGCAGCGTTAAACTCAACATTTCAATAAATTGTTTTTTTTTCAGAAAAGGCTTGGATTGGCTTAAGAGACGTCCACGGTAACAACACGTTTGTTTGGGTGGATGGAACTCCTCTTGTCAACTGGAAGAAAAGAATAGTAAAAGCTACTCCAACGAACGTTTTGAGAAAGCAAACTTGTGTTGCAGTACTTATCGGGCACAGGCTGCGGATGGGTACCAGTATGTGTGACAAGAAATTACCCTTTTTGTGTCAGATATAGCAAGAACCCCGTGAAGATCCGGGTAGCGAATAGGTCTTCAACAACCAATGCTTGCCGTAAGACGTGACTAACAACAAACAAACAAACAAACAAACAATGTGTAGTGTAGGATTTACGAAGAGAGCGACCCGTGAAGATCCGGGGTAGAACAGGTCTTCAGCAACCCATGCTTGTCGTAAGAGGCGACTAACGGGATCGTGTGGTCGGGCTCGCTGACTTGGTTGATGCATGTCATCGTATCCCAACTGCATGGATCGATGCTCATGATGTCAATCATGAGATGTTTTTCGGTAACTGTTGTTCATGTGATTAGAGTAAACTACAAATGTCTCTTAAGAGTCCCAAAACTCACAACACGGGGATGTAATTGACTGATCCAACCACTCAATCTTCGATGTATTCAGGAAAATAAAAGAGCTACAAAATCATACAAATATACAGTAACTTTTAATTTTATTAATAATTGTCTAATGCATTGTATGTAGTCAAGTTGTGCGTTTGAATCCAAAATGTGACTCCACTTTACTAAGAAAGTGACTTGTGAGGATCCAGGGTAGAAAAGGTCTTCAGCAACCCATGCTTCCCGTAAAAGGTGACTATGCTTGTCGTAAGAGGCGGCTAACGGGATCGGGTGGTCAGTCTCGCTGACTTGGTTGATGCATGTCATCGTATCCCAAGTGCGTGGATCGATGCTCATGATATTAATCACTGGGTTGTCAAGTCCAGACTCGATTATTTACAGACCGCCGTCATGTAGCTGGAATATTGCTGAGTGCGGCGTTAAACAACAAACACAAATACATGGTCGATCACCGTTTAGGAGGTATCAGCAAAATATAGAGTATGTAAAACAATGCATGACTTTACTTTTTTTTTAAAATGACTTAATTGTTACGTATGGACTGTCATAATTATGAAAGCTGTCTGTTAAAGCCTTTTAAAATTGAAATTGTTTAGAGGTATCATAAATGTATCAATATATATATTGTCCTTTTAATTGCATACTACTATTAAATGCATACTCCTATTAAATGGACCCGTGAAGATCCGGGGTAGAATAGGTCTTCAGGAACCCATGCTTGCCGTAAAAGGCGACTATGCTTGGCGTAAGCGGCGACTAACGGGATCGGGCGGTCAGGCTCACTGACTTGGTTGATGCATGTCATCGATCCCAATTGCGTGATGGCATTTGGCATTTACGTGATTCCAATCCTTACTCAATTCCGACGACGTGGTCCCTTTAGCGGTAGCCTTCATCATACATTTCAGTGTGAAAGACGGATTTCTAACGTTTTGAAAAGTTATATTTTCACAACAGTTAATATCTATAGTGGGGAGAATTTAAATTTTGCGTTTCGTTTGGGGTATTTTTTTTATAAAAGACTTTCAACTACAAAGGTAGTATTTAATAAAGAGGCTGTTTCACGTATTGCGACACCCAGCGAAATATCTCCTTTTCCACGTCACGAGATGGGAGGTGCATCATACACTCTTCAAAAAAAGAAACGCATAGGTGTTTTGAGAATTCCAATTCGATTTTTTTTTTCCAGCAATCGTCATAAAGACAATTCTTATGTTTGATTCCCGTTAATCATGTCATGTTTGTTGTGCATTGCGCGCAAACACATCTCAAAATGGGTTTTTTAAACGTTCATCAGCAAAAATGCAAAGGATGCACGGAAATTGCTCTCAGAAAAAGTTTTCAGCACAATGCACGTGCAAAATGTTGGTAACAAGAGTAGAGACACTGACTATAAAAGACCGTACAAAATTCATCAGTTCATTACGAATTTTCTGACGTGAACGGAGATCGAAAAATGCCAAGATTAACTGCAGCTGACCGAAATATCGCCATTGGACGTTTGGAAGCAGGGGAGTCCCAGTCTGGCGTTGCGAGGCATTTCAGCGTTCACCAAAGCACCATATCTCGACTATGGGGTCGATATACCCGCACTAATTCGACACAAGATCATCCCAGAAGTGGAAGACCACCCCTGCTCAGGATCGGTACATCCGGTTGCATCACCTTCGGAATCGATTTGCTACAGCAACGGACACAGCAGGACAAGTGCCTGGTATGCAAAAAATATCCGACCAAATCATCAGAATTCGCCTGAGGGAAGTGGGAATTCGAGCGAGACAACCAAAAGTTGGACCTGTCTTGCGACGTCCACACCGTCAACGACGTCAATGTAGAAAATACATTGAATAGATGCATATAACATCAATCCTAGTGAGCTAAGTTTGGGTCAGACAACCCTTGGGTCTTTGCCCGTAGCTTTGTTGTGAACTAAAAGAGGATGTCAACTTAACAAAGGTCTAAGGTTAAAATCTCACGACTTTACGATCAGCTTAAGGGTGTGTTGTTGAACCATGCCGCGGTGAAGTGAAGCGGCAGTAAAATCATTGGCATTACGAGACCATGTCTGAGACCGATACAAATATGTTACGGGTCCCAGAAAATTGTTTCAGAGAAAACCTCGATGTTTTAAAGCAGTGACTGAAATCGTTTTTTCTAAACAAAAAAATACAGAACACGCAAGTAAGCTGGCCCCGTGTAGATTCCTTGGTAGAGTCGTCCGCCATTACCCGATGTCAGCCATAAGAGCTGATTGACGACAGCCGGTTGGTTACAATAGTTTCCATGGGGCATACACATTATATGACTGGTTCATAGAAACCTAGTGGTGACACCTGGTGTTTGCGGAAAGTGTAAGCATGTCCTGTTCTAGCGGGGCGGTCGGGTAGCCTAGTGGTTAAAGCGTTCGCTCGTCACGCCGAAGACCCGGGTTCGAATCCCGACATGGGTACAATGTGTGAAGCCCATTTCTGGTGTCCCCTGCCGTGATATTGCTGGAATATTGCTAAAAGCGGCGTAAAACCATACTCACTCACTCACTCTATCGGTAGCACCCACCATTCACGCAATATTTTTTTTCAGAATAGCTCACCTGGATATTTAGACAACAGCTTAAAATGTCAATAAAGACAGTCATTTGACAAAAGGTGCAGTCAGCGTTGATATTCGAGTATTTTCTGCATAAAGACGAAGCAAAACCAACACTAAACTCTAAAGATTTGCGCAAAACATCAAAAACAGAAACATGCAGGCCAAACATGCATATTGAGATACGATAACAGCTCCGGTGTGTTCAATGGGCACGCCAGAAACCTATGATTGTGGGTTCGAATCCCGGTTCGCCCCAATTATGTTTCTAGGTTTGTCAGCACCATACCCGTGCTCGTGGGTTTCACCGAATAGGTAAACGTCTGAGTCCTGCATCACTTCGGCCTTTCCTCCCACATTAAGCTGACACTCCGTGATATAACTGGAATACTGTTAAAAGCGGCGTTAAACCCAACTCACTCACTCACTCACCTGTTGTTTTCAAATAAACGCTTTCCATTATCATAAAGAATGTCTGCTGTCAGCAGTCTTTTGTTCGATTCCAACAAATGTGTTTATGAATCACTATCAAATATTGATGATACCGATAGTGAGAATATCCTTGCCCACCGATGGCACCCGCCACAAACACATGCAAAGGCAAGTCAAATGTTCACCTTAAACAACACGGGAAAGATAAGTAAAAATAGAGAATTGAATCGGACATCATTTTAATCAATGATGCGTCAGGTCCTCCGCATGTCTACCATTAAACATTTATGAGAGCATTAGGAAGCCCCCGACTGCTGTAAGCCAAATACATCAGTAATTGAGCATGTCCAATCAAAAGCGCGGACAGTGTTTCGGGGAAAGAGAGGGGTGCAATTTATTATCATACAAGTGTAGATTCCACCGACATATCAAACGGTCTTTGACATCAGTTTCTACATCAACACCTATCCGCTAGAGTGGCACCATCACAAAAAATAGAAGTGAACATCATGTTATTCAGCAGCTATTGCGGACGAATATCATTACATCCCCATATGCTATCTTGATCTTAGTATAACCCATAGAACTTTGAGCATAGCGTGTCTGTCTGTCTGCTTGTACTGGTCCGGACCAATGCCGTTTTTATGGTGCTAACCCACTGAGATAATATGCCGCAGTTTAACATGAATGACCCAACCAAGTATGCGGGCCTGTCCAACCGAGAAGCAAACAGATTTTATAACCATACTTTTCTATCCCTCTAGCCACGGGTGTTTCTGTATCGTCGAAACCCGTGAACATCCGGGTTAGAATGGGTCTTCAGCAACCCATGCTTACTGTAAAAGGCGACTATGGTTGTCGAATGAGGCGACTAACGGGATCGGGTGGTCACGCTCGGTGACTGGGTAGATGCATGTCATCGATCCCAATTGCGTGGATAGATAGTCTAGTATCAATTTACATATAAATTTACGTCATACATCTGGAATATTGCTGAGTGCCGCGTTTAACCACAAACAAACATACAAACGATATATTAATAAAGTGTCATAACGGAGAGATCTAGCTGGCTAATATTTGGGCAAAAGTTCCATTGGATAGACTTGGGCTGATTTACTGAAGCATTTGTCGACGACTAACGGGATCGGGTGGTCAGAATTGGTTGATGCATGTCATCGTATCCCAATTGCGTGGATCGATGCTCATGATATCAATCACTGGATTGTCTCGTCCAGACTCCCATTATTTACAGACCGCCGTCATATAGCTGGAATATTGCTGAGTGCGGCGTTAAACAACAAACCAACCAAAAACTAATGTGAGAGGAAAGCCGGAAGAGGTGCAGGTCTCGGGCATCTATGAAATATACTGAACCGCAAAAGAAACGTCACCATGGATTGATGTATCAGAAAGCTTTTTTGTCCAAACACTGTAAACATACTTTGAGACATATTATAAAGATGAAACTTGGCAAAACTGATCATCAAGGTTGAAATTAAAGTGTCAAATGTTCTTAAAGTGAAACACCACTCGTCTCTGAGAAAATGGCATCACAAGTCAGTATCTCGTGTGTCCGCCATGTGCAATAATGACTGCCGTGCAACGTCGATACATTGAATGGATGAGGCGGTTGATGAAGGCCATAGGCACTTGAGCCCACACTCTGTGGAACACCTGACGCAGTTCAGCTGCAGTTGTCGGCCTTGGTCGGACGTCATTCAGCCGTCTTTGAATCTCTACCCACAGGTGCACATTGGGATTTAAATCGGGACTGAGGGCAGGCCACTGCATGGTTCTGATGCCATTGTGCTTGAGGAAGTCTCTTGTTTCTGTCGCAGTGTGGGCACGGGCTTTATCATGCATTCGTGGTTGCGCCGACGTGCCAAATGAGGTATGGCGTGTGGTCTCAAGACTTGATCAATGTACCGAATTGCTGTGACTCCATTGCCTGGACCGATGTTCTGAAAGACCACAGGGCCGACCCTCTTTGCAAGACCAATTCCACCCCACCCGAATAACGTTCCCCACGGCGTCGCCAGACTCTCTGCCATCTGTTGAAATACAGTAACGGCTCTCGTCTGAGAAGAGGTCTCTTTTTTGCACTGCTGGTGGCGCCAATGCTGGTGCTGTTAAGACGGTCCCGGCGAT